GTTGCAAGGAGGGACCAGTCCTTGGAAAGGGGCATCATGCTTGGGAGGTTGGAGGGAGAGTGCAGGAGAGGAAGACCCTCTATGAGGTGGATTGATTCAGTGACGGGTAATGAGGGTAGGTGTGTTAGAGACAATCAGATTGGCACAGGATAGAGCAGGGTTTAGGGCTGTTGTACAAAGAGTCACTATGAGTTAGAGGTGACTTGATACCATATAACAACAGCAAACATATTGCCAAGGGAGCTCTGGTGGCTTAGTGTTAAGGAATTGTGCTGCCAACCCAAAGACACATGGCTTGAATCCACCAAGCTGCTCCACGGGGGAAAGGTGGGCAGTCTCCACCGGTGTGGTGAACTGCCTGAGACCCGCGGGGCCAACTATGAATCAGTTCCGGCTGACTACCCTCCACCAGATGCGTAAGGCTGTAAAGGAGAACAAAGACACCATCTTTCTCTTCTGGGGTATATCTTTATGTCTTAAAATTGACAGCTTTTCGTTAGCAGAACAGAACACACAATGTCCTTTAGCTTGACCAAAGTTCTCTATTTTTGTTAAATCTGACAACCTCCTTGTAACAGCTTTCTGTGGCTAGATCAGAATCTGGGAGGTCAATAATAGCTAGTCTCAGGAGGGATGATTTAGCCTTTTGTGCAGGACTGACCAGTGGAATGCAGGGCGCAGAGGGCTGCCTGGTAAGTCAAGGAGGATGGACACCCCTTCTCAGAGACCCAAGAATTCTGTGTTGGGGAAACTGCTCCTGCCTCGCCCACACAATATCTTTCCTGGTTTGCTGATGATTCTGGTTTACATCTTCTTTATAATAATAAAACCAAAGGTAAAATTTTTAGTTCACTTGTGTGGATCATTCCAGTGAATGAATCCAAGGACAGTGTCTTTGCATCTCCTCGTTGTGCTGTGTGAGCGGCGAGGGTCTGAAATGATGGAGAGGTGGCCATAGGATGGAAATGGCCTTCCGAGAATGGGCCATCATGCTGTCATCATTGTAGGAATATGCCCCAGTTATGAATTATTTACCTAACTTTCAAATGTAGTCAGCTCACTTGTGTTTCAGCTTCCTCTCTACAAGTGGGTAGTGTAGGTTATTATTAATGTGCTAGAACTAGAACACTGGTGTTGGAGCAACGACCTGAAGGAGATGAGGGGCCACCAATGCACCTGTCAGCTTCCCAGAGAGCATGACTAGTTAAGTGGGGAGCACGGGTTGGGGATGAATCTGCGTGGGTGCCAGAGGTCAGAAGTAGACACAAGACGAACAGGCAACTTATTCAGGAAATTTTCTCTAAAGAGGAATATAAATAAATGCAGTGGTAGCCAGAGAAGAATTAGAAAAGTTGGGGTTCCTCCCTTGTTTTTATGTTGTTTACTGTCAATTGGAACAGACCCCTAGCTGACCCTGTAGAAGGTTTTTAGAGGCAGTAAATTGCGTGGGAGGAGATGACCTGTCTCCTGCAGAGCTGCTGATGGATTAGAATTATGTGACTTTGCACTTGTAAAGCAACTAGACATGAGAACTTGTGTGTATGATCAGGTGGAAGCGGAAAAAAAAACCCCATGACAGTGACTTAATAGGGGGTGGGTAGGCTTGCACACGGCAGGCCAGGAGCTGGGTTGGCCTTTTTTAGGAGGGGAGGCTCGACGTAGGCCTGCACGTGCTGAGATGCTAGAAAACGGAGGGCTGTTCTCTCTGGTTCCTTCTGTTTCCCTGTTGATGTGAACTCCCTCCCTGCTATGGAGTCATTTCCAGCTCACAGCAGTCATCAAGTTTCTGAGGCTGTCATTCTCAGTGGGAGGAGACTGTCCATCTTTGTCCCGAGGAACTGCTGATGGATTAGAACCACTGGACATGCTGGATGAGGGAAATGAGCTTATTCTGAAGCGCAACGAAGGGCTGCTGACACATACCAAGTGTTCTGATGTTACCAGTGTCATTTCCCCAGTACAGCCTGTTGGACATCTGTTCACTCATGGTGTTTTCCTAGTACAGCAGAGATCTAGTCTCTGAAGATACCATGCTGAGTAGTAGTAGTAGTAGTAGTTGTTGTACACCATAGAGCCAGAACCGACGCATAGCTGACCTTCTGATGAGTTTTCAAAGGCAGTTGGTTATTAATCTCATGAGAGGAGATTGGCCATTTTTCTTTCCCGGAGCAGCTGGTGGATTTGAAACACGTGCCTTTGGGATTGCAGCCCAGCTTCTTAGCATTAGGCCACCTTAAAGGTCAGTTAAAAAGAGGAAGGGGGAAAAAAAAGAGGAAGGGAAGCCCCTCAACAGAATCGCACACAACAGAATATTCTGAATATTTTCCCATTAACAAATCATGCCAAAGCACATAGATATTTTTTGGAAGTTAATTTTATTATAATATGAAGTTGATATACAAAATACATTCATAATGACTAGAAATATAGGACCAATCCATGTCTTATTATCTGCAGCATATATTCTTGGCTTTCATAAAAGTAACTTTAAAATTCCAGTTTCCTTAAATAGTTACGCACAGGACACACACACACTTCTATCTATATACATATAGTTGCAACTATTCAGAGACGCACTCTAGTCTTCATCCGTTTAAATGGAGCTGGCAAGGATCTGTTCAAGTTCAACATTCTTCTGGTCTGGGAAACAAGGCATAGCTAGAAGAATTAAGCAACATGCTTTTTAAAAAGATGTGGACACGTTTGTCCATACAGTAGGATCTGAGAATCACTTCTTGGATGAACAGATGAAGATCTGTACAGGGTTTGGTCCCATCCTCCCACATTACATCACCATCTCAAGAATCTTTGAAGGAAACACTTCCTCTGTTACCAACCATTATCCCCCTTAGAGCTGACACATGGTTCTGGTAAAACCTGATTATCAGTTAATTCATTTTCTAGTTTCCATGCTGTTTGAATGAGCTAGTCCATGGTGAGCATTTCACCAGCAGACACACTCCTGGTCTCAAGCCCCAACTTTTCCTTCTGTGTTAAGACTCCAAATGGAACCTTGTGTTATGGATGGAACCATGTTGGCAGTGTGGGCTGGCAAATTCTAATATCTTGCTTTCAGCCTGTGGGTAACATTAAAAGACTAACGGTCTTTAAATGACGAAGGATTAAAGTATTGAAATCAAGGTATCTAGCATACACAGAGGAACGGTTTCTTAGAGAGCACTCATTGTTGGGTCCTTGAGCTGCTAACTAAAAGCTTAGTGGTTCAAATCCACCAGCCTCTCTGCAGGAGACAGGTGAGGCTTTCTGCTTCTATAAGATTTCCAGCCTCAGAACCTGATGGAGGGGCACCATGAGTGAGGGTTGATTCGGTGGCACTGGGCTTGAATTTTGTTCATTTGATTTGAAGAATAGAGGATGAACAGGAGGGCTATACTCCTGGTTAAGTCTGGTTACTTGATACCTACTTCCTGTTCTCCTTAAATGCCAGAGCACGTTAGAGGCCAGAGCTGGTTGGAGGCCCGGGCCCAGGGGTCTTTCGAGCCTGGAGGGCAGACACTTTTCTGCAGACTTGCGAGCAAATGCAAACACGCTTTCCCTCCTCTTGATGACTGAGGAACAGGCCGAGTCCTGAGTCTAGAAGTATTTTGCACACTAAGTTACACATCACTTTTTTATTCCTCAGGGGGCATAAAGTGCAGAGTAAACACTGGCCAGTGCTCTCCCACACCCTTCAGGGACTGGCACAGGCTGGTGGAGCCCCTTAAAGGGAAACAAGGTTGACCCCCAATGCTCTGGATTGCAATTATTTGGGAGAATTGTTGGTTGATGTAGAAATAGGGTCTTCCTCTGAACTTTTGTTCTTTTCATTCTCTCCATCCTACTTACATGCTGAGATGCTAAATGAAAGGCTGTCAGTTCAGACCTACCAGCAGCTGAGGGAGAAAGACAGGCATTCTCCTCCCCTAGAGATTCACAACCTTGAGGAGCTGGAAGTGACCTAGTGGCGTGAGCTGGGCTGCTCTTTATCCCTCACCCCACGTTTTGGTACAGAGAAAAATGATTCTCTCTGCAGTCCTTTTACAAAACAGGATGATAAAAAAAATTGAGCAAAGTGTCTTGACCACATATGAGTACTCTAACTAGAACCTGATGTATCTAAAATAGTGTGGCTCTGGGCTGGCAGCAGCTGAGCCTGGACTGTGACCCCCCAGTGGACTGCCTGCCAACCACGTGTTTGCACCAGTAGGCCTGGGGGGCCAGGAGCCCAGACGTTCGTTTGAGGACTCTGGCCACATGAGGGAAGGAGCACCGAACCTGCCCCACAGGTGAAGTTTCTGGAGTCAGTCCCCTGTCCAAATGCCTCTGTCCCTTTCCCCCTCCTAGAATCTACAAAGTGTCCATCATCCTGTCCCAATCTGTTTTTTTGGTGATGGGTCAGGGGTGGGAGCCCATTGAAATGGTAGCACTGTTGAGGGCCTTTCCCTCTTGGCAGGGAGCACATTCCTTCTGGTAAACACCTCCCACCCCCACCCCACTCATAACCCCATCCTGTCCCCTGCTCCCTGCCCTCCTTCCCTGCCCTGTGCCTGTTAGAGGTCATTGCTTACACCAGGTGGCCACCCTGAATCTAAGAGGCATTTCCCTGGTTCTACAGCGAGGGCTCTGCCAGGGCATCCAGTGTATCTGGGAGCCCTGAGGTCTGGGGACAGGAGGAGCGAGCTGGTGGTCAGTCTGGGCTAAGACAGACAGGCTACTGTCACTCTTTGCGCAATCTGTGGATTTACCAGTAATGCTTCACTTGTCACTATTTTTCTATTTATCTGAGGTTACATTCTTGTTAGTCAAAGGTAGGAAAGAAAATAACAAAAAAAAAAAAAAAAAAAAAGAGAAAAGCACAATTAACAAAAATTCCCACTAAAGCAGCTGGCTTTTCCTGTGGAGATACAACGGCATACGTGGATACATGCGTAATACTGTCAGAAGCGGGCTTTCTGGGGCATAGATACACACGTGCCTCTAGAAAGAGCCTGGGCCAGCCCTCAGACCAGCGGCGGGGAGTACAGGACCACCGAGTTGTAGTCAGGAGGCGGGGAGCAGCACGGGATCTTCTCCAGCTCCGCGTTGTCATAGGTGAACCGGCGACTGATGTGGCCGCAGCCGGCGTGACAGAAGCCAGGCCTGGCGAGCTCTGGGAGCCCTGACTCCTTGCTCTTACTGGTCACTCGCAAGCTGGGGACAGAAACACACGGAGAAAGGAAAAGCAGCACGTGTGACACTGGGTTTTGGAAACAGATATCTGAGTCCACTCTGATTGGCTCAGCCCCCAGGACAGAGAGCCACTCAGCTCCATCTTGGTCTCCACCTCAGACCTTCTTTCTTGTCAGGCTGCATCCTGAAACCAAGCCACTGCGCCACCAGGGGTTCTAGCTTCCTGCAGGCAAGCAGACCACTGCCCTTAAGTACATCCTGAACCATGCGACCCTACAGGGCAGAGAATAAGTGCCCAGCCCACAGCAAGCAGTGCTGTTAACCCCGGCCACGCCTTTCACAGTTTAGATTAACCAACCAGTGCCTCAGGAAGAAAGACAGTCCCTCCCCCTTGTGGTTTGATGGCCTTGAACCTCTCAGCCAGCAGCCCAACAGGCCACGCCGTGTCACACCTCAGCTCCCAGGAAACCATCTTTTCCAACAGCTTCCTTCACCCCATCCCTCCTGCCTCCCCCGTCAGTGATCAGAGGACAGATGCCCATGTTCTTACTCAATCTTCAGGGAGGTCTTGGGCTTGCTCTCAGTCCAGGTGAAACGCTTCAGCAGCGGGGAGACCAGCAGGGTGCTGTCCATACGGTAATCCTGGGGACAGGTCGGAAACTTTACCCTCGGCAGGCCTGCCCACCCGCTCCCCGTGAGACCCTGCGGACTGCCCAGAAGGTTTCCAAGGCTGGAATTATGGCCGGTGAGTTTGAACCGCCAAGTTCTGAGTGAGCAGCTGAGCACTTTAGGGCTCCGAGCTGCCCAGAGGGGCCCACACCTGGAGTCCTGCACCCACTGCTCCCCCCTCCACAACCCCAAGCTTTGTCAGCTTGTCCCCAGAGGCCAAGAGGCCCCCTTTCTGAGGGTGAAAATTACACATTTTCTTTGGTTCAAACAAGAAAGAACATTGCAGCTCAGGGGCTCACATTTCCTAACACACACTTTCTTGTAAATTACGGCATCAAGGTATCAGTCCTGGCTTCTGATGATGAAGACGGTCTGTGGGTACATGTGAGTATTTAGTGGCTATGACGTACACAAACTCTTAACATTTTAAAACGATCTCATTTCTTTTCCCCCCCTCCTTGAACATTCCTCATTCTTCAGGCCCTCCCTGGTCATGTCTTCTCAGCGTGCTTCTCCTCATTAAGTTTTATGCAGACTCAGTTACTGTATTTTTACACATTGAAAAACATGCACATTAGATGATTTTGCAGACTCTGCAGCCTCCTCATGTGCCAGCTTCCTGTGGCGGTGTGTGGTGTGTGCGCACCGATGCAGGCATGTTATATGCAGAGAATACTGTTGTAGTGTGTTGTTGTTATCTGCCACTGAGTTGACTATCATTCACAGCAACTCTAACAGTGGACCTGAGCCCTGCCCTGTCCTGTGCCGTCCTCATCATCTCTGACACACTCGAGCCCACTGTTACAGTCACTGTCATTTTATTGTTGAGAGTTTTCCTCTCTTCTGCTGACCTTCCACCTTTCCAAGCATGATGTCCTTTTCCAAGGTCTGGCCCTTCCTACCAACCTGTCTGAACTGCTGGACCGAGTTTCACCATCCTTGCTTCCAAGGAGCCCTCTGGCTGTACTTTTTCCAAGGCACATTTGGTCCTTCTGACAGTCCCTTCAGCACTCTTCTCCGGCACAGGTGTCCATGCAAAGTCTCATGGGAAGTGTGTGGATTTCACACTTTCTCCTCTGACTCCCTCAGTCTCTTTCTGGCCTGTGCCACTTGTCATCACTTAGCAAGTCTAAGCACAAGAAGTAACTGTCACATTTCAACACCACATTAGGACAGAAAGGGTTAATAAAGCGGGAGGAACGTGTCCACACTGCCTGTCACCATTTGCTTTGACTTGAATGGATCAGACTGTTCTGTGTTGTTGTTGAGCCGGTTCTGACTCACTCACACTGATCTTGTAGGAGCAGACCTGCCCCCCAGTTTTCAGGGCTGTCACCTTTATAGAAGCCTCATCTTGCTCCTGCAGAGCAGCCCCGTGGAGTTGAGGGGCTCACTTTCCCGTTAGCTAACGGAAGTGCAGGGCCCCCAGGGCTCCTTTTTATGGTCAAGTCCACGGCAAGTCAAAGCCTGCACTAAAGGCCGAGGTGATGCCTGCGGATCACGTTTTGAGCCCAGAGCCACTAAGACCGGAGGAACGCTCTTGTCCCTTCCCCTGCTCACTTCCCTCTCTTGACTCCATGCCCCAGGGCCTCAAGGACAGGAGAGGGGGAACTCCTGTTTGTTGGCATCTTCTGGATGTTTCTCCCAGTGCAGCTGGCTAGAGTGGGCTGCTCGGCCTCCAGAACCTGTAGGGGACAGAGCCTAAGACCCGAGTGGGATGATTCCCAGATCTGCAGGCTCTTCAGACATCTCCACTGCACAGTGACGCCCAGCCAGCTGCAGTGCGCAGATACTCGGTCCTGTGAAAGCAAAGGTGCTGATGCACCGGTGATGCCCAGGCGCCTTGCTGGAAGCAGCTGGCAGCCTCTCCTAAGGGATGGAGTATGGTGGTGAGGTGTTCTTGCGTTAGCTCCACCTCCTACTGATGCCCCCTGGATAACAGGATGAAAACCTGCCGGTGCTCCTCACAGCCTCTGCTGAGCTTCCGTCCACTGTGCCAGTCCACTCACTGAGGAGTCCATCTCATTCTTTTTGGATGACCCTTTGCTTTACCAGCCATGTGTCCAGGGCTTGGTCCCTCCTAATATGATGCCTGAAATGAAGTGTTGGTCTCTTCAATCCTAGAGGGCATTCTGGCTGTACTTCTCCTAAGGAGAACTGGTTTGTTCCTCTGGTGGTCCACGGAATAGCTCACATTCTTTATCAAAACCGTGATTCAATGGCATTGATTCCTCTTGGCTTGAAATTACCAGCAGGCACTGAGTTGGACCCTACGGTGAACTCTGGGTCACCTTCAACCATGGAATTCTACTTTCAACTTAACTCTGTACAGTCAGTCTTCCTGGTGCTGCTGCTGACATTTCAGATGCCACTGAATCCTTGTGACCTACAGCTGCCCAGCACCTGGAGTCTGGTCTGAATGAGTCTGGCAGTGGGCTCTGCAGGCTAGCTTCGTTACTTACATCAAGCATGGAGGTGCCATTTGGTGAAAGTTCTTCAAAGGTCTTGATTCTCTCCAGGCTCATGAATTTGAAGGCATTGACATATCTGGGAAGAAATACAAAGAATAATCAGGCAGAGATATGGGTCCACCTCTGATGGCTATCCAGAAACTGTGCGTATCCTACCCAGGGCACCCAGCCACCATCCGGTGGGCTCTGACTCAGCTGAACTCTCCCACAGGTTATCCCAGGCTGTAACCATTATGGAAGCAGACTGCCTCGCTTTTCTCCTGCCGAGCAGCTGGTGGGTTTGCACTGCCATTCTTCCGGGTAGCAGCCCAATGCCTAGCCCATTGTGTCACCAAGGCTTCCATTTAAGATAAACCAGAATACAGCACAAAGGCCGACCTCCTTTGAGACTGGAATCTTGAGAAGCCTGATGGTAATGCCACTTCCTACTGTGGCTGTCAAGCCCCCAGGGACCCTCTGATATAGAGGCACATCTGGCTCTATTGCCCTTCACAGAGTTTGTAGGTTTACAAGCGGAATGTCAGTGCAACCATGTGTCCAACAAGTTTACTGACACCATTTTTCCAACAGCATGCGCTCGCTTCTTGCCTCTGCGTTATGTCATGGCCATTTTCAAAATATTTTGAACTTTTTCATAATGCTCTTACACCCTTTATAGGCTATTAAAAACTCACTGCTGTCGAGTCAGAACCAACTTAGAACTGACCCTCCAGCAGGTTTTCAGAGGCTGTAAATCACATGGGAAGGGGTTGTCCACCTTTCTCTTAAGGAATAGCTTGTGGATTCAAACCACCAACCTTTTTTTTTTTTAAATGATATATTTTTCCCCCTATAATTATATTTTATTAATTTTCATAAACATTTACAGAGATTTTGGGTTTCCATT